GGTTTCAATTCAGATGTTTTTGGAATGATTTGAGAGAAAAGTTGGAATGTTTGAAATATTTTGTGGGAATATGAATGAAAAATAATTCAGACTTTTTCAGCGAAAAACACGGAATGTTTATGAAAAAAATAATTGTAAGATTTTGTATAAAAGTTTCAATTTTCCTAAAGCAGGATGGCAGATGATAAAAAAAGAAGTAGGAACATTTGCAGAAAAATTGCAGAATATTTCAAGAAAAAGTGAGGAAAGTTCTGAGTTCTGATAAATTGAAAAAAAAACTATATTTTAATCTAAAAAAATATTGGAAAGTTTTTGAAATAAAATATAACTTATGAAAGAAATCAGAATATTTTGAGAATAAAGTCTGAATGTTCCTAAAGGGGGATAGCAGATATAAAAAAAAATAAAAAGTAGCAAAATTCAAGAAAAATGTTGAAAAAAGAAATATTTTAATATTTAATTTAACATATAATGTTTTAAGTTAAAGGTCCCATGTCATGCTTTTCCGGTTATTACCCGTCCCCTTGTGTTCTGTAGCTTCTGCATGTAAACGGTCTGCAGAGTCACAAACCCTCAAAGTACACCCTGTAGCGAGTAAAACTCTAACACAGAAAAGACCTGTCTATGCTGCCCCAGAACGCCTCGTTGGACATTTCTCTTCTTCCATTGTTTTCTTCTTATAGTGTAGTAAGTACAGTGACATATTGGGTATAGTGACGTAACGACTTCCTCACACACACACACACACACAATCTTTTCTCAGCTGCAGCTCTGCGGATTTCTCAGCCTGAACTCAGCCTGAGACGGCGAGACGCGGCGGGGCTCGGCCTGGGCTCGGCCTGGGCTAGTTCTGAGCACACACGCAGACTCACAGCCAGGCTGCGGGTGTGTGTGTGTGCTCGGGCTGGGTTTTGCTGTGTCTCGCTGTCTCGCAGATCTCCCGCAGCAACCCAGCTCACACTGTCCGCTCCTCACAGCAGCGAGCCCGCGCAACGTCCCGCCAACACGGCACCCAGACCCCACGCAGCATTCTCATCTGTTTGTCATTACTGGTGTCATTTCCTGGTTGCTAACAAACGCCATTGTAAAACATAATCACTGATGTTCAGCTGTAACGGTGGTGGACTCATCAGAACAGAGTGGGCGAGCTGACCAATCAGAGCACAGTGGGCTCACAGGGAGGGGGGGGCAGGAGCTCCAACAAGCCGTGTAGGACAGAGAGTGTATACACATACTATACAGAGATGCTGTATGAGAAACCAATGTGAGTTTGGAACATTGAACAATGTCAATCTATTCTAGTAGACCTCAACAATGGAACTATGATCAGTAGAGATGGCCATGACATGGGACCTTTAAGATTGTTGAAATGTTACAAGAAAAAGTTGAGTTTTCTTAAAGAGAGATGGTCTATGTAAAGTCGGGAAATTAAGAGAAAAAATACTGAATATCTCAGGAGAAAATATTGGAAATTATTTGAAAAGAAATATTGTAATATTTTCTACGAGACAAAAATAAATTAAGAAAAAAATCTGAATATTTTGAGAGAAAAGTCAGAGTTTTCCTTTAAAACATTAGTAAAGTTCTGATAAAGAAAGCTAGCATATTTCAAATAAGTGATTTGATATAAAACATGTGTTCTTTGATCCCGAAGTACACCTCAGAGAGTATTATGGGATGCATTTCTGCATCAGGTAGTGATTCTCTCTGATGATGTCATGGAGGTGTTCTTCCTACCTGGGGCGGCGTCGCCGTCGGTAACCAGGTGACGCTGACCGTCCAATGAACTGCGAGCACCGACACACACACTGAGCACAAATACACACACCAGCCACACACACACACACTCCATCCTGCAGGAAGAGAGAGAGGGAGGAAGTGAAATACATATTATTAAAAAAGTAAATTATCAAAATAAAGGAGATAATAATAATAAAAAACATACAGTAAACAATAATAAACAGGATTAAAACACACACACACACACACACACACACACACACACAACACACCACAACACACACACACACACACACACACACACACACACACACACACCCACACACACACACACACACACACACACACACACACACACACACACACACACACACACACACACACACACACACACACACACACACACACACACACACACACACACCACACACACACACACACACACACACACACACACACACACAGTTTAGTGTGAAATCATCGTTAATCCTAGAATAACAATAGTGTGTGTGTGTGTGTGTGTGTGTGTGTGTGTGTGTGTGTGTGTGTGTGTGTGTGTGTGTGTCAGCTGTTCTCTTCTCAGATGTGAGGCTGCAGGGACTTTTTTCCGCCTCCCAGCACTGACTGACTGTCTGTGTTCAGTTTAAATAAAGTTTGTTTCGGATGAAGTTTTGAATAAAGTTTCCTCACACAGGTGAACACACACACACACACTCTCACCTGAGATCAGCCTCTACAGCGGGTCCATCAGAGGTCTGAA